TCCAAGATCTCACAGACCCCAGTCTGTGGCAAAGCTGGGATGCAAACTCAGGTTTGCAGCCACCTTGGCCAGTGTTCCTTCCCCTGAAGCAAGGTCAGAGGAAGGAATAGCAAGACTTTGAGCCTGGAGCTCCAGGTTCCTAAACTGCTCATCCCATTTCATCCTCGGAGCTACCTCTTTTATCATAAAAGTATCCCATAGGCGCGGTTGGACCTATGTCAGCCAGGTATACAAGAAGCAGGGTAGTGTACAGAGGAACACTGGAGGAGAAGTCGGAAAAGCCAGTGTCTTTTCTCTCAACTTATTGGCAGTGAGTCCTTGTTTCTTTTCTCTCTGGGCCTTGGTTTCCCCACCTGTAAAATGAGGATGTGGAGTCTGGTGATGGATCAGGAGTTCTGATTCAAATTATCGGTCTATCTCAGCCTGCCTCAGTGGGCAAAGAGAGGATGAGAGAACTGAGCAGAAGGTAGTTGGCACCCTTCTTGATCCCCTGAGAAACACAGAGGTCTGACTGTACTCTCTCTCAATCCCTCCCTCTTCCCCCTTTCCGCTCTGCTCTATGGGTGTACCTTTGTCTGTTTCTCAGTCTCTCTCTGTCTCTGCATCTCTCAGTCTCTGTCTCTCTCCTCCTTCACCACATCAGGGGTTGCCACTTTTGTTCCCTCACAAAGAGCCCTGTAGGCCCTGCCTGCTCCCCTAACAGCTTTCAGATGTGTTTCTGGAACAGTTCTACAATTACAGCTGAGACAGGCAGAAAGTGCATGCCCTTGTGACTTTTGACCCAGGCCTGTGAAGTTGACATCTTCCTTTTTCTCCACCCCTCAGCCCCCACTGGCAGGGTGGCCTGAGGCCTCCTCCATCTTGAGAGCTCCACTGACACATTTGGTTACTCTAATAACACAAATAGAAGCTACCTTTTAGGGAGGAAAGATTGAACCAGGCCTGTTACAATTATTATATCATTGGGTGTTGATCCATAACTTGTGAGTTATAGATAACTTCCCCCTATTTTACAGATACAAAGACTGAGGCTTAGAAAAGATGTGGTGGCTTCCCTAAGAATGCTCAGCCAGCAGTTGGAGAAAGCAAGGATTCTACCCAGCTTTTATAACTTGAAAAGTTAAGACTACTTCTTGCCCAGCATACCATTATGCATGCTGCTTGGCTAAGCAGAGAGGTGTCCCTGGACCCTCTTGGTGAAGGAAATGTCTTGCAGAAGCGCCATGGAAACATAAGTGGCCAATGGGAAAGCAGTGTTAAAAAATTTTCCAATTGCTCCTGTTTTGAGGCTCATTCACATATTCCATTCACTACAGCCTTCCGTGTCTCCGTCAGTTGAAATGCAGCTCCTTCTCTTCTACTCCACAAAAGCATTTTTAAAATGTGCACTGTTGCACAAATAAGTGCCCTTTATGTGGTCTTTATAAAAATCTGCAACTTGCAAGCCACTTCTCATCCATCACTTCGTGTAATCCTTGAGACAGCCATGTGCTGTTTCTACAATTATCCCCATATTGTTGATGCAGAAACTGAAATTGAAAAATGAGATGTGACATGCTCAAGTTCATTCATTTACTCAAATATTTATACCTCATACTGTCTTAAATGCCAGGGATGTAGCTGAACCCAAGCTGAAATGTCCACCCTCTGGGGGTTGCAGGCTAGGGTTTGGATCTCGTCTCTGCCACTTTCTAGATGGGTTGTTGTGTGAATAGTAAGTGCTTACACAATGTTACCCAATACTGTATTTACCTCCCCAGCTTGCCACTTGCTTACTCTCACATCTTGGAGTTTCTTTGTGATCTTGTTCCCAACCCTTCCGCACAACTTCCCAATCATAACTCACTCTGTATAGCACTTACGCTTCACTTCCATCCACAGTGACCTGTGAGTTGGGCAGCAATCTCCCTATCAGAGATGCCAGATGAAAAAAAAGAGGCGAAATAAGCTCAGAGGGGTGAAGTGACTTGCCTGAGGTCACAGAGCAAAGGAATAGAACTGGAATGTGAGCACAAGCCTGGCCATCTCCAAGACCAGGCTCCTTCCTCTGTCACCCACTGCTTCCCTGGACCGAGATAGTAATGGATATAGTAAGCACTAGAATTGAGCTCCACTCACAGTACTGAGGTATGATAGCAGGAGAGAGAGAATGCCCATGTTCCAATGCTTTTGTTCTCATACCATAGGCACAAGCCAAAAGCCTCAGGAAGCTGATAAATAGATTGGCTTCTGTCTGAAAATAGGGCCCCAAAACCCCATATTTGTCCCCTTAAGACACAGATATTAGGTGCAGGCCCACACTTCCTTACTCTTACCAGCACTCTAGCCCAGCTGATGAAACATAAAAGGTGGAATTAGACTTGACAATATAAGATAGTACTACAGTGTGGTTAAGAACATAATCTTTGGGTTCAGGCAGACCTAAATTCTGGTCCTCTGTTGCTACTTACTTAATATGTAATAATAGGTCAATTACTTGACCTTTTTGGAATTGATGCCCTAATCAGTAAAATGCAAACAATCATAGTACCCAACTCATGTAGGATGAAGATTAATGGAATAATGCAAGTACAAGACCCAGCAACCTAGTGAGCACTCGTTAGATGATGGCCATGCCTATCATTACACCCAGGCAGTGTGCTGGGTTCCCTGCACTTGAACAATTCTGCAAGGGGGAGTGCATTTCTCCCATTTCACATCTGGGAAGACTGATAATCAACCAGCCCAAGGTCATACAGCTACTGAGCACCAGAGCCAACATTTGAATGGAAGCCTGTTGGGTTTCGAGGCTCCTTCTGCTTCCCCACATCATTGCCACTATGGCTCTGGGTGACCTAACCCCTGCTTGACCCCTGACCTGGGCCTCTTTTGCAGCAAGCCAGCAGGAGAGCTCAGTGCTGACATTCCTGTAGTGCTAAGAGGCATCTCCATGGGTCTGTCTTGGGCTTAGTGGCAGTGTCCCATAGCAGCAAAGAATGTGAAGCATATATGGTTATGGGGCTCACTGCCAGCCTGGCTTGTGGCATCGTAGACACAGGCCTGGTATGACCGATCGATGAATTCCTTTGTGCACTGAGAATACCAACTTCCTATTCCTCGTTACTCCAATTGGGGGAGAAGAGGCAGGATGGTGCTAATGCTCTATCTTAGTTACAATGAAACGCAGAATCAATATCAAGGAATAAGCTAGAAACACATTCTTGGGATGGCATGAGTACCTTTCCCAGTTCCTTAAAAGATAAACTGAGTTATTTTTAAGAAGGAGATTTCACACAGGTAGGGACACAAATAATATTTTCTCCAGAAAGACACTGCCTTCTGCATACTGTGACCCTTGTACCAAGGAGTTGATTCGTGGTACCTTTTATAAAAACAACCTTTCAGGGATCAGGTCATGAGGTATCAAGGCTGAGAAGGCCTGTTTTATAGCTTTCTTCTAGGATTGTTTAGGGAAATTAATATTGATAATGCAGGTAAAACTCGTAGGTCAGTGCTTGACACATATTAAGGTCTTAGCACATCTAAGTTAATTTGCACAACAAATTCATATTCATTAAGTGTCTAATGTGTGCAGTCCATCAGGGCTCGCCATTCTGCAACTTGGCAATCATAGGGTTATACCCATTTTACAACATGAGGTAAGTTGAGGTATTGGGGAAGGAAGAAAGGAAATAGGGCCTCTGGAGTCACAGTCTCTTCTTCTTGACCTGTGGAACCGTCTTCCCACTCCACAGCGTGGCCTCTACTCTTGAAGTCTGGTGAAAGAGGATGGGATGCCAAAGATAGGACACTCAGATGCTCAACTCTTATTCATGCAGCTCCTGTCCTTCAAAGCTCTCCTCCTCTTGAAAGTCTTCTCTACTCACTCCTTGGACTTTGTTTAAACCACAGAACCCAGAGATCTGGAGGTATGAAGGGTCAGACAACCTCCTCGAGATAGGCCAGAGGACAGTGGCTGCTCCAGAAAGAATTCTGTGCCTTGAATTGGGCCTGAATCCACCAGGTCTGTGGTTTACCAATGCTCCCCTTCAAAAGCCACACAAGCTGTCTATACCCTCCAGTACACCATAGAGCTTCAGGTGACAACACAGAAAGGTGGAGACATGCCTCTACCTGGAATATCTCCCAGCCTCCCTATCATGGCCCACAAGGTCCCCACTGATCTTCACCCTCATCTTACTTTACTACAATCGCACCAGCTGTCTCTTCCTCCAACAGTCTGGGATCTTTCCTCAGTGCCTTTGCACTTACTGCTGTCCCTGCCTCAAATGCTCTTCCCCCAGGTCTTCCTCTCATATGCCGGTTCCTTCCCATTATTCAGGTCTCAGCTCAAACCTTCTCTCCAGGAAGACCTTCATGGACAAACTTGTCTACAGCATGTACATCCCCCCTCCACCTTAGTCTTTTTCATGTTATCCTGTTGTCTTCTCTCTCACATTTACCATGGTCTAATTTTTTGTTTACTTTTGGATTAGCTTTATGCAAGCAGGGACCTTGACTCTCTTGTTGCTCACCTTATAACCTTAACACTGAAAATAATTCCTAGCACATAGTTGATGCTCAAAAAGTATTTATTAAATAAATGAATGAAAGAATATATAAATGAGTATATCTAGCCATACAAGATAGCATCAGGGTTCAATTCTCAAGCCCTGGACTCAGACTCCTCTCTCCAAGTGACTGTGAGACCATGGAAAGACACATAGTCCAAGTCTCCATTTCCTCCTTGGTGAAATGCAGGTGGTAAGAGTCCCTGCCTTCTAGGTTTGCTTACTTGTAAATTAAGAAATAAAGTGCATAGTGCCCAGCAGGCAGTTGGTGCTCAATAAATGCTTTATAATTATCTTTATTTTTCTTCCAAATCATTTCTCCTGTAGCCCAAGCATCCTGGAGTTCTTTTGACCACTGCTCCTGTGCTATGATTTGGTGTTCCTCCTTGCAACTTCCAGGACCTTCTCTGAAGTCACAGCCTGGTCCTCTGTTTTCTTGCCCTGCTATAGGTTCACTCTGTATGCTGTGGATACACGAGGGAGGCACTCAGAGCTCAGCACAGTGACCCTAAGGACAGCCTGTCCACTGGTGGATGACAACAAGGCAGAAGGTAGGCGACCCATTTCTTCACTTCCCAGGTAACTTCCATATTTCCTCTCCCTAAGTTCTGTACCCAGCAGTAACTAACCACCACCCCTTTCCTGCACCACATGAATATTGGTACAGGGAGAAGAAAGTGATGGAACTAAGGGAGCAGGAAGAACATGATGCTAAATTAATCAAAGCCATGGGGCAAATTGAGATTGACCAGCAATATCTTTGCCAGTGGAAAGACTTGCTTCTCTTTTGTAGAGTTTGTCTGTGTTCTGAGTTCGAGGCAAGGAATAGTACAGAGTCAGAGCCCCATCACTGTATCCTCCCCCTTAGCCTGTGCTTCTTAGAGACCAATCACTTTCTTCCACTTCAGTCTGTGCTACAGCTGGCAAATCAGTGGCACCGAGAATACCCCTTCACCTTTCTACACCTGTGGCAGACATCATTAGCTGATAACAGCATGCTTTCCCATCTAGCCCCGGGGTGGCCTCAGAATCCTGAGCATAGAGCCACAGGCAGTGACTGTCAGGCATAGTTAGCACACAAGATTAAACCTTTTTTGCTGCTCCTGGTCCATGAAGTTGTCAACATCAGGTAAAACACCTGAAAAAAATAGAACCAATCAATCAGATCCGTCTTACACTTAGTTCTTGGGCAATGTGTAGGTGCAATTTCTACATCAGGACTGGCAGAAATGTGATGGTAGCTCACGAGTCCTGCTGATTCACTTAAGTTAAGCAAATATTTTCTAAGAGCCCTGATACAAGCAATGGAGGAGACATATGGTCTCCACCTTTTAGGAGTCCCCATTTCAGAGGGAGAGAGAGAACTTTCTACAAAGGGCTCAATAATAAGCTGGATAATAAATGTTTTGTCTGCTAGTAGACGAGAGGAGATGGTGAACTATTGAATCTCAAAGGCAAGGGGGATTTGAGATATTTTCCTGATGATGTATTACTATTATTTTAAAATATCACCTGCAGATGGTTAAAAAAAATAAAAATAAGAAAAGAAAATAGTGCAAAGTAAATGTTTCTCCCATCCTAAACCCAAGTCCCCCAGATTCTCCTAGAAGCAACCATTGTTAGCAGACTTGAGGACATAACATGAATGTTTATCAGAGTCTTCAAAGATGAAAGAATGTGCCTCCTAGTCAAGAGAGCAGCCCATGATGAATTTAAATTACACCAATTAGTAGGAATAACTGAAGGAGTAGAAATTGCCATGAATGGCAAGCAAAAGAGCCTGGATTTTCTTTGAAAGATTTTTGAACAGAGACCTGTTAGACCTGATCACAGAAATGTGTTGGAAACATTAAGGAGATAGAAGTAGACTGTTGAGATGAGCCCAAGACAGTTTTTAAACCTCTCCACTTTTTTTGAATTTTCTGTTAAATCATGGGCACAAAACTTATGTTAATAAACTTAAAATTATGAGCACAAACTTTGTGCCTGGCCCTGTGCTGAACGCTATTTTGTTGTTGTTAGTCTCGATCGAGTCGATTCCGACTGGTAGTGACCCTATGCACAGCAGAGTGGAACCCTGCTCGACTTTTTTGTGCCATCCTCTCACCTTCCAGTGCTGCATCAGACAATGCTCCATTGCTATTCACAGGCTGAGGGCTTTACATCCACTTTTTGATTTAGTCTTCCCAATGCACCTCCAGAGTAGACATTGTTATCTCCAGTTGCCAGAGAGGAAAACTGAACCCAGCAAGTCAATGACATATTCAGAACGGAATTAAGGTTTGTCTGCCCCCAAAGACCATGCAAGTGAACTCCTGCAAGAATATGCTTTCCTTGTTGTGAGGCATGTTTCCATCCTCACTTTTTCTAGCTGTCCAGTGATCTGTGCCTGCCCTTCTTCCCCTTCAGAGATAGCTGACAAGATCTACAATCTGTACAATGGGTACACAAGTGGAAAAGAGCAACAGACTGCCTACAACACACTGATGGAGGTCTCAGCCTCGATGCTGTTCCGAGTCCAGCACCACTACAATTCTCACTATGAGAAGTTCGGCGACTTTGTCTGGAGGAGTGAAGATGAACTGGGGCCCAGGTATGGGTGTATGAGTATCAGTGGTATGGTAAATTCCTCCCGCTCCCATTCGACTTCACTGAACCCTTTGTTCCATAGGCTGAGAATGGGCTTTACCAAATAAGTAAGGGTGGTGGTCACCTTAGTTATGTCAGGGCTAGAGATGGGAAATGGACAGGGACAGGAACAGTGAGAGAATCTTGGAATTGTAGCCTCTTGGATTCCTGGAATGTCAGGTAAGAGAGAGACATCGGCACTTTTTCAAGCAATGACTCCCCTGGACAACCTTCTACCTTCAGTTTTAGAGATGGGAAACTTAGACTCCTTGAGGGAATGTGTCCCAACAAGATCATAGAACAGCATAGTGGCAGGGCCATGGCCCCTAGTCTAGGGCCTCCCTACTCTTCCATAAGAAGTCAGAGTTTTTCTAGAGTAAAGTCTGTGAGTGACCATAGCAAAATACATTCATAAATTCAACCTGTATTCAGGCATAATTTTTGTCACCAGTTGTGACTATGCCAACCACTGTGCTCGGTGCTATGGAGGATTCAAACATAACGAAGACGCAGTCGCTGTCTTCTGAAGCTTCATAAAGCAGGGTGTGAAATGCTGACTACCTTTCATACCTTCCGCCTAATGACATTCATTCCTTCATTCATTTGTTCAGCACAAACTTAGCACCTTTTCTACTTGGTTGCTTGTCCACCACGCAATAGTAAAAAGGTAGAAGCAGTCCCTACCTACACATAGCTTACCACTGCAGGTAACTAAACAAACAATTGCAAGGAATAGGAATAATAAATGTCCTGATGGCAGAAGAATAGGGCCGTTTGGGGAGGCAAGGCATAGACGCTTGGTTTAGGTGACCCAGTGAAGGCTTCGCAAGGGCTGAGACTCTGAGCCCTAAAGGGTGACTAAGGGTCAGGCCAGTGGAGGGAGAGGAGGATTGGAGGGTTTTGGGCAGAGGCAGTAGCCTGGGAAACTCTCAAAGGAGATAATGTTACATTAGAGCAGAGTTTTGCTCTCAAATTTTGCTCATTTGCATACCACCTTTACGATTTTTGCCATGTCATCCGACCATATGAACTATATTTATTTGATGTTTCTTTCTTAGATTCACTTCTTTTTGTTTTTTGCCTCCCCAAAGCCCTAGGACATAGTTGTGTATTCTACTTGTAAGTCCTTCTAGTCCTTCTTTATGAGCCACCACCACCACATGCCTGCCAATGAGCGGTGTGGTTCTGCCCCTGGGAACCAAACCCGGGGCCACCAAAGTGGAGTGCACAGAACTTTAACCACTAGGTCATCAGGGCTGGTTCTCTTAGATTCACTTCTTGCTGAAAATATATTTGAAAAGAAAACAGTGCATCATTTTGCAAAGGGAAAACTGGGACCATCTACCCTTCATAGAAAATTAAACCTAAACATTCAATACAATAAAAGAAAAAAACCCAAACAAACAGAAAACAATGTTGTTCAATCCTAGCAGAGCCTGAGACTCTCCCTTTAGAAGAGAAGATTAGCAAGAGTTAGAGAAGTATTAAAGACACAGCCCCAAACCAAAACTTTCTTTTTTAAAGTTATCTGGGTCAGGGGAAGAGAATGGAAAAGGGACTCTAACTCCCTTTCCCAATGTGATTTATTATTGTTTCATCTGGGTCTGTGATCATCTTGGGAACCACCTGAAATCCTGTTCCCTGACCCAGGGAAACTCCTTCCAGGCGCTGTGTGTGGAGGAACTGAAAGAATTTCCGTGTAGTTGGAGCAAAGTGTGTAACAGCAGGAGTGGTAAGAGATAAGGAGGGAGAGGTCAGCAGGGGCCAGTCTCAAATGCCCCTTAAGTAGGGTTAAAGAGTTTGGATTATCTCCCTAGGGTAATGGGAAGCTTTTCAAGTGTTTTTCACAGGGGGGTGATATCAGATCTTTAAGAGAGAAAGATCCCTGTGACTGCAGTTGGAAGCATGAACCAGAGGGGTCAAGACAAGAGGAAGGCAGTGAGGCCCTGGAGGCTGTTGTCATAGTATTTCAGGAGAGAGAATGTGGTCCCATAGGCCAGGGTGGTATCAGTGGCATTGGAGAGAATTGCATGACTTCCTGAAATTCTTAAAGGGCAGCCCTGTATGCTTTCAAAAGCTTTAAAATTACCCTGTAAACTGGGCAAAGTAGGGTATCCTCCCCATTTTATGGATGATAAGGAATTAGAGGCCCCATGCAGTTAAATGAGCTGCCCAGAGTTGCACAGAGGTTGGTATGGAGGCTGGTTCCACCCTGAGCTCTCACCCTGAGCCCTTACAACACTTGCAATAATCCTCCAGGAATTTGAGGCCCTCAAGAGAAGAGCTGAGAGCTTGGTCAAGGGATAAAAGGGATCTTTCCCTGGCGCAGGCCTTATCTGTTCCGTTGAGTCCTGGACTGTAACTCTCCCTTTCACATGAAAGGAAGGTTCTTTAGATAAAAGCTCAAAGAGGGCAGACAGGCAGGCAGAAGCACAGAGCCCCAGATGAAAGCTACTGTGTGAGTCATCCGGGCTGCCATCTTGCCCGTGGACAGGGAAAGGCATCCCACTTTATTGGGCTTTCCCACAGGGCTCAGAGAGTTTGAGTGGAAGCTAAAGCAGAGCTCCACTCCTGACTTTGTGTTTACAACCTTCTGAGATCCTTTATGACCCTCTAGGACATAAATCTTCTGGAAAGGCTGCCTGGCCGCCCACAGAGGCAGGACAACCCACTCGGTAATGGACTGTGATAACCCACTAACCTCCAGCCAACTCCCACTTTTGTTACCCAGCTTCCTCCTTCTTTGGTCTTTCTAGTCTCCGGAGGGGATCCGAGATTCCTCCAACATCCCACACTGGCTTGTTAGCAGGAATCAAGACATCTGCATCCTAATCTATCCTAGTACAGATAATAAACTTACTGTGCAACCTTGAGCTCTAGACTTCTTTGGCCCTCAGTCTCTTCATCTCTAAAATGATCAGAAGGAGCTATTATTGTGATATTCTTTCTTTTTAGCAGTGGTAAATTTTTTTCCTAAGCAAATCTTACACAGAACTCCAGGTCTTAAGTAGAATGCCACCTCCTCTGAAATGTCCACTTATTAACTCTATCATACCCTCATGTTTTAATTTTCTGTATCTTGCCTACTAGTTTTAGTGTCTTATATCGCTTATGTGTTTACTTATGTGTCATCTCTGTCTCCCACTACAAGGTCAGCTTATGTATAATTAGTGATACTTTGTGTCCTATTCACTCTTATAAGTAGGTGCTAAATAATTACTTGTTGAATAATTGGATAACGGGATGAGTGAATGTGTGGATCAGATGATTACAAAGTTGTTCTGGTAGAAACTAGAGTGCGTGGCCTGGAGTCTCACCTGCTGGGTATCCCTTTCAAATCCCCCCTGATCCCAAGGGTCTTTTAGGTCTCTCTGAGCTATCAAGGATCTACAGATCACAGCTGGAAACAGTTGAATTCTATGAACTCTGAGGTCTATCTAGCCAAAAAATTACATTCTAAAAAGTGTATTATCCTTGCAAATATTCAGAGACTTGTGGAGACCTCATTTCATTAATTTATTGATTCATTGATTCATTTAATGTGCTTACAATGTGCCAAGCTCTGTGCTGTGAGCTGGAAATATATGAGTGAAGAAGACAGATCCTGCCTTCACAAGGAGCAGCATCTTGTGAGGAAAAGACTGGTCAACAGGCAGTTGCAGTGAAACATCTCAAGAAGCATACTAGAAAAAGGAGAATGGGAAGTGTGTCTTAGAGCAGTGCTTCTCAAATTTTAACGTGCTTGAAAATCACCTGGGAGCCTTGTTAAAATTCAAATTGACTGAGGAGTCTGGGATGGGCCTGAGATTCTGCATTTCTAATGAGCTTTCAGATGATGCCAATGTTGCTAGTCCCTAAAGCACACCGTGAGTAACAAGGTTCTGGATGTGGATAGCTGCTGCAGCTAATCTAGACCTGGAGCTCAAGGAAGAATCGCTAGAGAAGAAAGTGAAGTGTATGCTTAGAATTAAAGGATGAACAGGAGTCCTCCAAGTGGAAGGGGGAGAATGTTCTCATCAGAAGGAACAGGCAAGGCAAAGACAAGCCAGGGTGAAATAAGAGAATATACTTCAGTCAAGGAGTATAAATAACGCTGATGCAGAGAGTTCAAGGTGAGAAGGAAACAGAAAAAACAAGGCTGGAGATTTCAGCCGAGGTCAGATCCTGATGGCTCTTGTGAGCCCTGTTCAAAAGTTTGTTCTTTCTCTCAAAAGCCAGGTAAAGATTTTAAAGAGAGGAGCAACTTGGGTAAATGTGCCATGGCTCTCAAGAGTTAGCAAGTGTCCAAAACATCAAAATGTAAAGGAGAGAGAGTAAGAAACTGCCCTGGAGCCAGAAGCCTTGGGTTCGTGTCCTAGCTTTGCCACCCACTTGCTGTGTGACCTTGGACAAATTCCATCCCTATTCTGAGCCTCATTTGTAACCTCAAAGGACTGAACTCCAAAGTCCCTTCCAGCTGGGAAACCAAGGAACCAGCAAATCCTGAAGGCCATAGAGGCCACAGAACAAGCACATTATGAGTGTCCTTTCGCCTCCAGCCTAGCACATCCTGTTTCTCAGGGACCTAGGGTGGCTAGGGTGATAAGAGTTCTTCCCAGGAGCATCTTGAGGGCTAATATCATGGGATGAGCTCTATTAGGATTCTCTTTGGCCTGTAATCACCAAATTCCAAAATATGTATATGTATATTCAGGCATGGATCTGTGGTCATACACCCCCATAAAATTTAGTGACAAAAGGGTGTCTCTTACCCCTGCCTAATAAATCTATCAAGCCAGTGTCCTCCAGAGCCTAGTTCCCATGGCAACCACAGGTTACTGCAAACAGCTGCTCAGAGAAGACCCGCTGACACCCAGCTGCCCTAGCCATACGGTTTCTATTAGGAGACTTGAAAAATTGAGCTCATAGGTGGCCAGGGACCAGAATTTGCTCCAGTCAGAACACCCTTGACCACTCTTGGGCTTC